AAAAAAAGAACATAAATATTCAAATGTTTGTCAAGCAAAAGAACAGGTTGTTTCTTCGTATAAACTCTGTGTTAGAGTTATGTGGAAATAGGTCATATGTAAAGCATGCTTTCCAAGGACTCTGAAAGACCCTCTGGGGGTGTCTTTCAGTTGGGAAAAAGTACTCATTAATATTTGAGGTCCAGTTCCAATGTAACCTCCTGTCTGAAACCTTCCTCATCTGTATGGACTTGACTGAGTCAACTTAGTTCAAGTGAACTTATGCCTCCTAGAATTTTCTTTCCTACATCATTCCAAGTTAGCATGGGTCATAGGAGACATTTTGCATGAGTTTTGGAAGGTTGAATTAAAGCAGAAGCCATAACTATTTCACATTCAGAGGGTCAATTTAGAAACACCAGGTGTTATTGCAAACCATGTCCATTGCTACTTATCTGCTTGCATAGCTTGTTAGTCTGGACCAACAGCCAGACTAACAGCAATTCAAACTCCCATTGGATCCTTCTTTAGTTTTTTTTTTTTTTTTTCTATTTTAAAAATGGCGTCCATTCTGATCACCCCAACACCATGACTGTACAAACCAGTTTTATTAGAGAACTGCCCCAGGTGCACCTCTGTTCATGCTCTCATCACACCTGTTTCTCAAATCAGCCCAGGCTCAGAGGCAAGTTACTAGCTAAGCAAAGAGGAAAACTGTTCCGCAAAATAGCAACTGTCAGCTTAAGGCATTATTTACATTGCAGAAGGAAGCAAGATTACTAGGGATGTCTGGATAGCCCAGGACAATGACTTCTGGGAACAGGAAGCCCTCTAGGGCCAGATCATGCTGCCATCTGACTTGGGAGGTGACACTATTGTGCTGGGATGGTGGGTCGCTCCTTCAAACCCATCCACATCACTGACAGAACACTGTCTATTCCTTGAGCTTTTGGATTTAGACATTAGTTATATAAAAAGTACTCTTGGCCCAGAAGCCCCAACATGTGTGTGGGTCTCGGGGCACTCCCTCAGTCCTCCCTGGCTGGAGCAGGGGAGGATGGAGACACATGCAAGGTTGGTCAGGCTCTGTTTTAAAAATGAAGTCATAACTAGGAATTGGGAGCAAGGGGGCTGAGACCCCTATTGCAATCACATGCTGAATCATTGTCCTCCTGAGAGTAGGCTCCTATGTTAACTCCCGGGTTGCATGTGAATTTAGCACATGAAGAAAGAAAGACACCACTTCTTCAGGACTCAAACATTACTCAAGTTGGAGGCTGGAAGACAATGAGAAACTGAGGCAGATTCTAGGCCATTCATTGTTGTGGGCTCCAGCTGGTCCTTGCTCTCCCCCACTCCATATCAACTTCCTTGCCCAACTTTCTGCCCTACTGACTTCAGGCTCCAGAACGAGCAGTGGTGAAGATGGTCATTAGTCTGCAAACTATAACCCACAGAGCAAATACAACTCAATGCCTGTTTTTTTCAATGCAATTTTATTGGCACATAGCCACACTCATGTGTTTATTAACTGCTTGGGGCTGCTTCCGTGCTGCAGAGATTGTATGTCTCCCAAAGCCTAAAATATTATTGTCTGCTCCTTTAAAGAAACGGATTTCCAAGTCTGAGCAAAGACAATAACCATACACAGACTGTTAAACTTCCACAATCATGTAAAGTCAAATCCCTAAATGTGTGTGTGTGCATATATTTGTATATACAGTCACGTGTGTGTGTATAAATATACATGAATGTATGTATGCATGCATATATGTATATATACATGAATGTATGTATGCATGCATATATGTATGTATGTGTTAATGAATAGATATATATTTATCAGTTTTTTTTCTCTAATCAAACCTTGATTATTACACAATCTCTACTCCATTAATACCTGGAAACCAAGAAAATGGAATGCTTCCCTCTCTATGTTGCCACAGTATTTTGCTATTAGAGCACTTGCTATACTGAATTATAATTGGTTTGTATCTCTATTTGTATGTCTTTTACTAAATAAGGAAGTCTTAGAGGTGCCCTTTCTCCAATCAAGGTATGAAAGAATAACTAAATAAGGAAATGACTAAGTAATGAGTGAATGAATGAATAAATGTAGAAAAAGACAAAGAGATGTTTTTCCTGCCTTCTTTTGGCCTTTCTAGCTTCTGTGAATCCCCATGGCCACATACCAGCACACAAAGCCAGAGTCTGGCAGACTAATGTTTAACTCTGGGCAGCTCCAACTGGGCTACCCTCTGCCTTGATGCTGGCGCAGCCTGCTCAGCAGGAGAGGCCATGGAGTCCCTTTCCAGGTTGTATTGTGCTCCATGTCTCGACAGAAATGAGGGCCGGCCTTAGGCAGGCAGTACTCTATTTTGACAGTGGTGCAGTTGCTGCAGACAGCCTTAAATACCTCCAGTGGCCGTGGCCCTCTGCCAAGGCTGCTGTAGGAGCTGGCAGGTGCTGGAGAGGGGCTTCTGGTATTTGGAAAGCACCTGGATTTTGTCAAGCATTTTTATGCTCATGGAATTATTTGGACCTTATGAGGGCAAAGGACATAGAGAACTGGGGTTCTTCCACGACTTGGTCAAGTCACGTAACCTCTTTGTGTTTCAGTTTCTCTACCAGCCAAGTGCTGAAGTGCTATGATTTTGTGATTAAAAACTCAGCATCAGACTGATGGCTTGTGACTCCTACTTACAGAGGTTTTCTGTGCTCCACGTTGCATCTTGAAAAGAGGTCTCTTCCAGAGGTTGCAGTGAGCTGAGACTGCACCACTGCACTCCAGTCTGGGTGACAAGAACGAGACTCCATCTCAAAAAAAAAAAAGAAAAAGAAGCCTCTTCAGAGAGAAGAATGGAGAAGAGAAATATAACAAACCAAAATTTACTATACTGAAAGATATTTTGAATGAAAATGAATGTTACTAGCATTTACTGAGAACTTATGTGCCAAAATCTCTACTTCAAATTTAAGTGTATTACCTTAAGGAAATTAGGATTGGTTGCTACTGCTTTTAGAAGCTGAAATGTGTGTGTGTGTCTCTGTGTGTCTGTGTGTGCCTCTGTATGTGTGTGTGTGTGTGTGTGTGTGTGTGTGTCTTAGAATAATCTCCATGTGAAGCAGCAACAGTCAATTCAAATAGTGTGTTAAATTGTTTTCACTGCTTTAGGTCATTATGTGCCTTTTCTGCATGTATGCATGCATATCTCCAGTGTTAATTTTTAATAGCAAAAAGAATCACACTGTGTATTTTGTACCTGCCGTGTACCAGGCACCATGCTAAGTGCTCTACCTTTATATGATTGCATTTAATCTTCTAACAACCTTCCATAATGGTTATTAATTCTATGTGATTGTAGAAAAAACTGGGGATCAGAGAAGGTAAGTGATTCGCCTGAAGTCACACAGCCAGAAAGTGACATCCTAAATTCAAACTCAGGTCTATTTGATTCAAAGGCAACATTATTTCTCCTACATTGAGTTGTGTCCCATTGCAGTGTGTCTGGAAAGAATCAGAATATCCTGCTGATATGAACATGCCCCTAATGCCTTGGTGCTAATCCTATGAGCAAGATCTTGTGAGCATCTTAGTAGGTAGATCTGTGGCTACAACTCACAGCCAGACATTTCAAGAATGATAATTGTCTACAACCTAAGAGAAAGATTATTTACTGTTAAAGCTGTGAGGGGCTCACGGAGTAGTACCCATGTTTTTCCAGGTAAGGACACTGGACCTAGAGAAGAGAGCTGCTTGTCCAAGTTCACCCGGAGGTAGAGCTTAAATCTAGGTCTTTCTGTCAGTTCATCTTTCTACTCCACTGCCACTGCCTTCCTTGCATTCTGCCTTCCTCAGAAATTTTAATTGAGCATGTGAGTGTTAGAGTGTGTGTGTGTGTGTGTGTATGTGTGTGTGTGTGTTTGTACGTGTGTGTGATAGAGAAAAAAAGATTGCAGGAGAGTGCTGATAGGGAGGAGACCAGGTTGGGAAAGAAAGGCAAAAAGACTAGTATATTTTAAAGCCAGATATTGCATTTTTAATGGCAGAACAAGAAAGACAATCTCTTCCTGATGGCTTCCCATGATGGATTGAAGCAGAAGCCACCCTTTCAGTGTTTTTCGGAGGCTTTCTGCCACAGCTTTGCAAACCCTAGAATTGAGAAAACCAATTAATGAATGCCCTGGTGCTTTGGAGGTAGCAAAGACAAAGCAATTGTGTCACGGGGAGCTGAAGCTAGGGCTGCCACTTCATTTCCTTTCCCATGGGAAATCGGAGCGTCACCAGCTTTGAGGAGCCTCTGTGATCCTCCAAGTCTGTCTCTCTGCCCCCTCTCTTCTGAATGCATTTAGAATCTAATGATTCTTCTTCTGGCATGAATTGAAGTGATCTGCTCCACACACCCTTACTCCAATCAGTAAGGATTTGTTAGTGTGAACTCCAAAAAGGGTAGGCAGCAAAAGCACATGAAGATACCAGGGTGCCCCACATTCTAACCCTCCAATGTAATAAATAACATGTGAGATGGTGCTGGGGTGGGCAGGGAAAAGATGCATCATTCACTTTCATTGAGGTCACACTGCCCTTCTCTGCTCTTTTCAGAGAAAAGCTTTTTTTTATACATGCACACCACACTCACTCACACATGCACACTCCCTGCAAGAAGCCAACAAAGCATTTTGGTCATCTATAGGCCACTCAGCTTCTTCAGAGTTGAGTAAGATTAAAAAAGCCCGACATCTCCAATATTCCTCAGCAACGGTTTATGTACCTGCATAGACAGATGAAAAAAGGGCTTGAGGATGTATTTAAAAACATGCATGTATATGATGGATGGTTAGAGAGAGAGCATGCAAGAATATGATACAGATTAATGGCTCTCTGTATTTTTGGAGTCTTTTTGTTTCAGGCCCATAGTTCTGGTGCATTGGAAGGGTTCTGGAATTTTAGAACACAAAGTAGCAGTTTTAAATAATGAGAGAAGATTCCACATGGAACGCTCATCTGGCTGTGGCAGCCTGTGACTGAATGAGAGAAAAGTGCCCTAGAAGCTATTCATTACGAATTCACTGGAAGCTCTCAAACGAGGCTGGCAGAAGCTGAAATTGAAGTGGTCTCTGACCTAATTTTCTTCTGCATGAAACATCTGCATCAAGGCTCTCTTTGATGTATTCCACTTGGCTCTGTCTATAGGATTGTATCACATGGACTCGGTGTTGCCTCCTTATTGAAAGACATTTCCAGCCTTTGCAAGGTAATGCGATGTTACTGTTACCCAAGCTAATCACTCAATGTGCTCCTAAAATAGAAACAATAGCAGTTCAGAGACAATGTTGTCTGCTGGCTGTTCCTGCAGTTTGGGCTCCTGGTTTTCCAACTTAGATCTGTGGCATTTAGCCCCTGTAATTCCAAAACAAAGGAGAGGGAGAAGAAAGGCGAAACTATGCAAGATAATGTTGAAGGACCAGCAGCATTATGTGTGAGAAGCTTCATCTTATTTGGTCCTTCAAGCCATTGGGTAGGATTTTGGCACCATTTAAACCACACAGAGCAATACGATAAGAGGTCTGCCTTAAGAAAGAAAAAAAATCTCTTGATTTGGATGTTGCTTTTATTCCAAATTCTGATTGACACCCTCCGCTGAGAGAGAAAGGAGTGAGAGACAGAGAGAGAGAGAGAGAGAGAGAGAGAGAGAGAGAGAGAGAGAGAGAGAGAGATGTGTACTGAATGTTGAGTGTTTTGTGATTCTTTAGTGACCTATGAACTACTTTTAAAAATTGTCTTTTCCCTCTTAAGCTCTCCCAACCTAGGTAGAATGCAGAAGTGAATTTTTAAAGGAATAATGATAATAATCTTTTTTAAAAGCAACTGTAATGAGGCATCTTCTTTATCCTGGCAGAATAGCTCTTGCCTTTCTCCATAAAGGTTTGCTGCACCGTCTTCGTTAATGGTGTGCTGCTGTTCCCCACCATCCCAGCATTATGTGAATAACGGTGGTGTCTTTTGTATTCCACCCCCTGAAGAAGAAACCTTTGAAATTCTAAATGACTGTGCTGCAGGTTTTAATGTCTGCTTCTGCGAAAGAATTGAGAAATGCGCACTCACTGAGCAAGATGCAGCATGCCTTTGACAAGCCTTTCCGCCTGACTCCTCTGTCCCACGAATTTAGATGAATACACATTCTTGTAGATGCCCTCTAGTTCTCTTTATGCCAGGATAGAATGACAGAGGTGATCAACAGCCTCCTTTTGCCCAAATATTGATACTCCCATGGACAAATATGTAATCATTCCTTTCCTCTCTAGTGCTTTCTAATCAAAGCAATCAGATATGAAGCATTTGGGGGCAGTAGACTCTCTGAGGTCAGTGGTGATCCAGTTCTCCAACAAGAAGAAAATATGGGTGCACATTGACCTACTTGTTATGAACCTTCACAGAAGACCCAGGGAAGGCGTTAGAGTTGGGGCCACAAGGTGGGTATCTTTAATCAGCCTCAAGAATCAAAGCAGATATTCCCCTCCTTCAGGAGGTCTTTCCTTATTATCCTCACTGTACTGGGGCCTTTCAGACACGCAACACACCAAAACAGTCATGTTCCCCTCAAGCAAAGCTCTGAGAATTGTGTACGGTCTATCTTCTCTATCAGCCCGTGCTGTCTTGAGGGCAGACACTATTTCTTATCTTTGCAGTCACAGTGTCCGCCACAAATAGGCTGACCAACTCATCTGAATTTGCCCAGCACTTTTTGCCCAGAGCTTTTCTGGTTTTAGCACAGAAAGTCCAGTGTCCTAGAATTTCCTCTCATTACTGGGCAAACCACTGGGCACATATTAAGTGTTCAGTAAATGTGTTAAACAAATTAATATGAAAAATATTAAATCACCTTTATCCTGTGAATCATAAACTCTAAGTTTAGTTTTAAGAAATCTTCATAATCGAATGCTTTATAATCCTTTGGGTATATACCCAAAGTAATGGGATTCCTGGGTCAAATGGTAGTAGATGATGGGGGCATGGATGCAGCAAACTGCCATGGCACGTGTATACCTATGTAACAAACCTGCACGTTCTGCACACATGTACCCCAGAACTTAAAGTATAATAATAACAAAAAAGAAACCTTCATTACCCATGTTCTCTCTCCAGCCATAAGGTTCAAACCCCAATAGAGCCCAGATTTCCAGTTGTCATGCTCACTCAATAAGCAACAGACCTGCCAAGTCCTACAGTCACAGAATCAGAGCCCTGGGCTAAGAAGAGAATTTGATGCTACCTGAGGCAAAATGCTGTTCTATGTTCTGATCTCCTTGAGTATTATAAACAAAAAAACCTATCTTATCACCAAGGCATGAGTGTTAAGGGGTGTGAAGAGAGAGGAGAGAGAAACAGACAGAGAGATTGAGAAAAGAAGAGGAGACAAGAAAGACAAAACTCAAAATCAATGTTAGTCAGGCCTTCTGGGGCTCCGAGACTTAACACGGCCTGCAAGGTCTCAGTTTTCTGTCCCAGCCCTGCTTTCTGTTCTCATCTCCGATCATTGCTTCCACATTCAGTGATTCCCGACTCCAGCTAGAGAAGCCTCCATGCTACTCCCCCAACTCAGAAGCAGGCTACTTCTTGGCCCTTGTACGAACTACTCGCTGACCTGGAATGCTCTTCGGAGATAGCTATGGAACTGGCTCCCTGTATTTATTCAGTCCTTGGCTCAGAGCACCTTACCTTGACACCCTGCAAAAACTAGCCCTGTCCATCTCTGTTCATTCTCTGACCCTGCTTTGTCTTCACAGCCCTTATCACCAGGAGACACATTATAGACTTGTTTATTTCCTATCCAGAACAATACTAATAGAACGTTTTATGATAGAGGCAACACCCTATATCTGTACTCCTCAATACGGCAGCTAGTAGGCCTAGGGTGGCAACAAAAGTACTTAAAACTCAAGTATTTGAATACTTGCGATCACCTAGTAAAATTGATGAAATGATTTTTTAATTTTTAAAACCTTTCTTAATTTAAGTTTAGACAGCCACATGTAGCTAGTAGCTACCATTTGGACCTTGTGGTTACAGGTAAAATTTTGAAAGCAGTTTTTTCTACTTTGTTTTTTGAGATACTTCTTAGCTCCCAGAGAAGTTTCTGGTATATAAAGTGTTTCAATAAATATGTTTTTAAATAAGCTCATTATTCTAGGCATGAAACAGGCATCTGTGGCTGGGGAGGAACCTAAGGAGACTAATTCTGAATTCCAATCAACCCACATCATGGGAGGACCCTTCAGACATAGGGTCATCAAAGGGATGTTCCCTGGCCAAATGTCATCATCTCCCTAAACCTCATTTTCTTATGTGTTCAATGGGAATATTTGCTTACAGTATTTAAGAGACTTGTCAGTGAGTGGATGTCCAACACACTGAGTTCTCTAGTGACACAGAAATGCTATGTGTAAGCACAGAGCTATATATATAGGAAAGCACTTTGAAGAATGCCAATTTGTGATATTCTTGTCAGTGATTACTATTTTGGAGGAGAGGGATGATTTATTTGCATTATAAAATAATTCTTTGTTTAACAAAAGAAACTACGAGAGAATTGTCTCAAAGTAGCTAACTCCCTGATGCATTTCATTAAGAATACATTCTGACAAATCCAGGGTCCTTGCAATTTATTGCGCAATACAAGGCTTACCTGTATTTTCAAGAATGCATTAGGATGTTCCTTTGACTTGCTGGTGTTCTCATAACATCTTTTCTTCTAGGATTTGGTTTGACTTATTAGTTGCAATCTTGGAAGGCTATAGCATTCATTCCTTCTATTGGTTCAACAAGTATTTATTAAATTCAATGTAGGGCCAACTACTCTTCTTGACACAGCGAATACTTTCATATAATGAAAAATTGAAAAAGATAATCCATGTAAAGCTTTTAAAATAGTACCCAACACACACTAAGCACTCCATAAATATTAGTTGTTGTTTTTCTTGCTGGTGTTATTATATAGAACTTACAGTCTAGTGGAGGCAAGAGACAAAAAGCAAACATATATATGATCAGAATTATCTCCAATACAAAGTGCTATATTTGCTATATATGGCAAATATAAAACAAGTTATAACGTATAGCCTTAGGGACAGCACCTAAGGCCTGACCTCAAAAGGTCCTGTGTCCAGCCAATGGGTAGTAGGATTTCTGATCCCAATTACAAAAGTAGTAACATTATATTTCTGGAATTTTGTTGAGTCTGCCTCCTGTGGGTTTTTATGAAAGTGTAGTCAGACTACTTAAAAGAACAGAGAGCTATGATTCCATATTGTTAGATGAACTATTTTTTACCAACTGGCTAATAAATATAGTATATTAGTAAATGTCTATAGACATGGCCAAAAAAAAATTCAGCTAAATTAAGTGCTAAAGACTTCCTGGAGCAGAGGCCACTTTACATCAGTGAAGGATGGCTGCTCCTAGGAAGAGGTACTCTCTGAATAGGAGGAGCCAGATCCAATCAGAAGGGACACAGAGTTGATTCCATGTAGTAGCATTTACTGAGTAACCACTTGGTGCGAATACAATACTGAAGGCAGTGGAAAGACAAGAAGGAGGGTAAGACAAGTGTCTGCCTTCAAGCACGTTACAGGTTGCAGAAGAGTTGAAATGTGTCCACTAATGCTAAGGAAGGTAGAGGCTGTAGAAGAAAGCCTGAAAACACTGAGCTGGAATGGAGAAAGGATATTGCTTCCCCATCTCACTTGGCTGCCTACTCTTTTTCATCTTGCTGCTCCTTCTCCCTTCCCCCTCCAACAATGCCAGCGTTTGCCCTGAGCCTCCCCAAGGACAATAGAGAAGCAGCCCTTGATGAGGCTGGAGGATCCTCCTGTCTGCCTCCCAGCATACACTTGCCTTGCTTTGACTTTGCTCTGTGGAAAATAAATCACAGACACTCAATTCCCAGTCACCATCCCCAGGGAGCTGGACCTCACCTCCTCCCTGGAGCCTGCCTGTAACAGGGGATTGTCAGGTACAAAGAGAAAACCTTCAGAGACCCACACCCCATTTGGAGAGCGAAGAGGGTCAATGGGAATAATTGCTAGCAGTTGAATGTGAGCGATTGTAGAGGGATTGGAAGGAAAAGGATTCAGGAAGGGAAGAAAGAAAAGAAGGGGGGAAAAAAAGCCCTCACCCCCCGCTCCCCCCAACCTCCATAGTCTGTGCACAGAGAACTGCATGGTGGTCTGGGTCCTTGTAGAACATTTGTGTGCT